TACTGCAAGTGCACAGCCTATCGAAGTAATATTTAAGATTATCGATCCACAGGGATTCTATTGTTACTTAGTGCTAGATGAACTTCTAGTTTAGCTAAGGCGAATGGTTGTCACGATTGTTGTTGGTTTTTAAGACTATTAAAGGCGGAATTAGATTTAAGTTTTTAATAAAGTACTACTAAGGCGGTCGGTATGTAATTATACTAACTTAGGTGGGTCGATCTAACCTAGGCTTATAGAGATGTTCACTTAATCTATTCGGTAGAGATTACTAGTTTAAATACCCTCAACTCACACTCTCGTGGTCTTATATCAGATCTTATCCCTAAAGCCCTATGCCTGTTCTCACTAGCCCATAAGTGTTTAGAGGTAATTTTTGGAAACTAAATAATTCTAATTTATCTTAAAGCGCTCTCGCTGTGTTTAATTTAAATGCCTAACTTTAGCTATCTGGTTAAAATCTCACACTCTCGTGGTCTTGACCCAACCTAATACCCTTTTCTTACTCTCGTAATGAAAAGGTCTATTTCAATTAAAAAGTATCAGCCAGAATGTTAAGTGATTAATTATTTTCAGCCTATGGTTATATTTACCGGTTAAGTTTGTTATAACTACATACCGCCCTAAGGTGTTTAGCTACTCATCGACGTTGAGCCAGACATAGAATTAAATAATAACTTACTCATGGCAGAAAAATAAATAAACATTATAATTAAATTAAATTGCAATATAATGAAAAACCTGATTAACAGATATTCGAGCAGACTCCTTCTTCCACAGATCGGAAAGCTTGGAGTAGGCGGAAATTAAAAATAAACGAATGCTGAAGGTTTAGAAACAAATAAATGTATAACAATTTCCTGATGTTGGAAATTGTTATACGGTTGGTTTGGATACAAATAAAACGAAACAGAAACTAAAAATAATGCTGGAATGGGAAGGGCTGGTTCGTAAGGCAGTTTGGCAGAGCTTCCGCAGGAATTTTGAATAATGAAGTCTGTCCTTGAGTTCACAGAGCTTGTACTATTTATAGAGTCTTTAATGGGCTGGATTCTTGGTCCTTTGTTGCATGGGCCTTGCTGAAGTTGTTGAAGGAATGCTGGAACGTGGCAACAAAAATGGGAGAAGTGGTCTTCACGTGATGCCTTGAGGAGAAATAAGAGGAGAAGTGGTCTTCAAGTAGTGCCTTGACGTAGTCTGAGTCAAAACCAAGTTTTATCCTTGTCACGGGCGTGACAAGGTCTTCACGTTCGTAATTTAAGGATTTTAAGTGTCACGGTCGTGACCACTCTCTTACGGTCGTGATGGCCCAAATTGGGGTGTCACGGTCGTGACACCCTTGTAACGATCGTGGCTGCAACAAATTATGCAGTCTTTTTGCAGGCTTCTGCATTTCTTCATCTCCTTGTGGTCTCTTTTGTTCCTTTTCTCTTAATTCATGATTTAGCTTCACATAACGATGTACCTGCAAAATAGTAAGAAAAACTTGAGAAATCGAGTGTTAAAACGGTGAATGCGCGATAAAACGTCAATGAAATCTAGCGATATAATCGATGTGTTTTCTTGTTATCAATGCGCACGTTAACATCGTCCACCCAAACATCCCATTTTCCACCGTAGTCCCATGAACTACGAATGCTCTGATTCTTCACTTCATACAAGTGAATATACGTAGGCACAAGGGCCCCAACCCTTGGCGAGAATTAAAATAAATAAACCAACCCCTCTTTTCCTTAAGTAAGCAAACTCTTAATAAAAACACCTATTCATGCAAAACAACCTAGGAGGTTCCCATCGAGTACGATGGATGCGAGGGGGTGCTAACACCTTCCCCTCGCATAACCGACTCCCGAACCCTAAGACTTGGTTGCGATGACCACAAACTTTTCTCAAAGGTTTTATCGCTATTTCCCTTTCCCTCCTTGGGATAAATAAAATCTGGTGGCGACTCTGTGTCATTTTTCGCGTAGCGACATAAGGGTTAAACCCTTTTTACTTTATTGGGGAACCCTATAGAGCTTAGGCAAGCCTACTAAAGATATAACACAATCTCTTTGGGGAAGTAAAAGCATCTATTATGAGGATATGTCTACAATCCCATTCAACCTTTCATTGTCCAAGGGGTGCTGGTGAAATTGTCTTTTAGTGGGGCTAATATACCACTGAGATGACGATATCAAGATTTCGTTCATTTTTAGATTTCTTGGGAGAACCCTAATTTCCACTTATACTTTCCACAAGCCAAAGTAACTACTTATTTTGTTTTAGTTTTATTTTAAAAACATTTATGATCAAAACTTTTTGCTTTCAAAAATCATTATTAACAAATAAGTGATGTTTTGCATAACAAAGAAAGGTGAAGAATGTAGTAAATTGCAAACAAATGAAAGGTCCAAAACTTATTTTATTCATAAATGGCAGCTTGCGAATAGAAACGCTCCATGAAACATTTACAATTGAAAATGGCAAAAAGGAAAATGTTACATAAAATCCAATGACAATCTTGCCCTATTGACTAAGAGGTCCCCAAATCTTCACTTCTGAAAAGAGTAGTGGAAATGAGCCTCTTTAGTAATCTTTGGAAATGGTAACAAACTCTGATACATCAAAATGCCTTTGTCTCTAACTTTTTCCTGAACCATCCTTTCGGTTTTTTGATTCACCAGGATGCTCATTTTTGCCTAAGTCGCCCTTTCATGTGTTCGAATTAAAAAGCTTTTTCTTTCTTTTTATTTCATCCATACTTTTTTCCTGGATCTTCTTCATAGGTTATGATCCACTGGGATACCCATTTTTGCCTAAGCCGCCCTTTTAGGTTTTCGACTTAGCGGGTCTTTTTAGGCATAATATTTTCTGATTGCATCAGAGTTCATAGGATGAGCAAGTTGTTGGCCATCCATTGTCGTAAGAATGAGAGAGCCTCCAGAGAAAGTTGTTTTTACAACAAATTAGCCATCATAATTAGGCCTCCACTTCCCACGCATGTCTTTGTGAACTGGAAATATCTTTCTGAGCACGTGTTCTCCCTCTTGGAACCCTCAGATACAAACCTTCTTATCAAAGGCTCTCTTGATCCTCTTATGATACAGCTGGCCATGGCACATCACAATCATTTTCTTCTCGTCAATGAGATTCAACTTATCAAACCTTTGCTTGACCCATTCTGCTCCTTCCAGCTTTGCTTCCATTAGGACCCTTAAAGATGGTATCTCAACTTCAATGGGTAGGACTGAATCCATCCCATATACTAAAGAAAAGGGGGTTACCCCAGCTTAAGTGCGAACAAATATTCTGTATCTGTGCAAGGAAAATGGTAGCATCTCATGCCAATCTTTGTAGGTCACTACCATCTTCTTCATAATCTTCTTAATATTTTTATTTTCTGCTTCGACAACTCTGTTCATCTTTGGGCGATAAGGAGAAGAGTTGTAAAGTTTAATCTTTAAACTATCACACAACTCTTTTATTGTCTTGTTGTTTAGATTGATACCATTATCAGTGATGATTCGGCTAGGGATTTTGTATCGACAGATAATCTCCTTTTTGATGAAACGAGCAACCGCATGTTTAGTCACGTTAGCATAGGACGTAACTTCCACCCACTTGGTGAAGTAGTCGATAATAACAAGAATGAAGCGGTGTCTGTTCGAAGCTTTCGACTCAATTGCTCCAATCATGTTGATGCCCCACATTGAAAATGGACAAGGTGATGACATCACGTTTAGCAAAGTCGGAGGTACATGCACCTTGTCCGCGTAGATCTGGCACTTGTGGCATTTCCTGGCATACTGGATACAATCTGTCTCCATGGTACACCAATAATAACCGGCCATTATAATCTTCTTCGACATAGCATATTTGTTGGCGTGGGTACCAAAAGCTCCTTTTTGAATGTCTTGCATCAACAAATCAGCTTCTCGTTTGTCAACGCACCCGAGAAAGGCCATGTCATGGTTCCTTTTATACAACACATCATTGCTGAGGAATAACTTGGATTCCAACCTCCTTAATATTTTCTTGTCGAGAAAATTTGCATCAACTGGATACTCTTAATTTTGCAGATACTATTTAATATCGTGAAACCACGGTTTCCCATCAGACCCTTCTTCCACCAATTGGCAGTATGAAGGGTCGCTTCATTAATAAATCGGACCTGCCACATAGTAGCCATCATAGCTAAGGCGTCAGCGATGGGGTTCTCAGTCCTTCGTTCATGCTTGAAGGTTATCTCATCAAAATACTTAATCATTTTCACAATGTAAGCTTTATATGGGATCAATTTCTCATCTCTGGTCTCCCATTTACCTTTGATTTGATAAACAACCAAAGCTGAGTCACCACTCACTTCTAGAATCTTGATGCGGAGATCAATTGTTGCTTCTAATCCCAAAATGCAAGCCTCATACTCAACAATGATTGTTAGTACATTCAAAACATAATCTTGTTATGGAAGGAGTATACCCACCAGCTGGGTTTATCAAAATGGCACCTATACCATGCCCCTTTTGGTTGGAAGCACCGTCAAACATCATCTTTCACCGGGAACTGGGTTTTGGACCTTCGTTAGGACCTGGCTCTTTATAGTCTTTCTTGATTAACATGATGTCTTTATCTGGGAAGTCAAACTTGAGGGGCTCATAGTCTTCTACTGGATGATCAACGAGGTAATCTGACAAGATACTACCTTTGATGGACTTTCAAGCGACGTACTGGATATCATACTCTGACAAAAGCATTTGCAAACGGGCAAGCCTTCCTGTCTGAGAAGGCTTCTCAAAAATATACTTTATCAGATCCATCTTGGAAATCAACAAAGTGGTGTGACATATCCTATACTGCCTTAGACGTTTGACAGCCCAAGCCAAAGCGTAACAGGTTTTCTCTAAAAGTGAGTATCGACTTTCACAATTGGTGAACTTCTTGATAAACAATAAATGGTGTACTCTTTTTAGTACAAAAGTGGTGATCTCGTAGGATCCAACCCAACAAAAAAGACCAATTTACATCATATAGCTAACAAGATGCTTCCTAATTTTTAGGTTTTGCCACCCTCTATAGGTTACATTATCTATAATGTTAGTAGCTATGGTTGTAATATCTACAGGTTTATCAAAAGTAGCACTATTACGATACCCCCAGATGCAGTGGATGGATTCAGCCACTAGCATTTTAAAAATATCCACTTTCCAGCCTTTACCTTTAGTCATGTTAGTTATCCAAATCAACTCGACATCCCAAGGTTGAGGAGTATGAACTATGTTAAACCAATGGAGCACTTTCTTCCAAATGTGTCTTGTTCCTTGACAGCAGAAAAATAGATGGTTCATCGTCTCTTCCTCGGTATGACATAAACTGCACCGACTATCTTGAATCATGCCAAAACGCTTTAATCTATCCTTGGTTGCAAGTTTTCCATGGGAAGCTTTCCATAGACAAAAAACTTCTCGCGATCGGCTCTTATTGGATCTAATTAAGTTTTTCCAAGGCACTCTTGTACCGTCATCGATCAGAACCTTGTAGAAAACCGACGCCTTAAACCTGTGTGAAATCAGAAGTTGATCCCATTCGTTCCTAATTAGATCCATGGTATCCCTTTGTTTCAAAATGCTACGCATGATCCAAGAGTTTTGAGTTTTGATTTCATAATTCATGATCTGCTTGTCTTTAAAGTAATGAATATGGATCCATTTCACCCACAAGGTATCAGATTTTTTTGCACAAATTCCATAAGCATTTTAAGAGCAGGACATTGTTCCAAATCTGCAAATTTATCAGGTTTAACCCACCTTGAGCAGTAGGACAGCTCATGCGTTTCCAAGCCACGGGACACTTTCTGCTCACTGTATTTTTGCCGGTCCAGATGAAACTGCGACAAATGGAGTCAATCTTTTTGATCACTGTTTTGGGCATTGGAAGACAGTGCAGTCAGTACTGAACCATTGCAGTTGTTATACTTTTCACCATTGGATTCTGCCGGCATAACTTAGAAGCTTTGAAGACCAATGGTGAATTCTAGCCACTATTCTATCCACCAAGGGCATAAAGTGAGCGATGTTGATCTTCCTGCCAACCAGCGATATACCGAGATATCGGAAAGGAAACGTACCTTCTTGGAAACCAGACATCTCTTGCATAACCTTTCTCTTTTCTTTGTCTAGACCTCCAAAAAAATCTTGCATTTGTTAGGATTCATAATTAACCCCGTGGACATGGAGAAAGCCCTGAAAGTATGAAGAATCATATGTAAAGAGATCTCATCACCCCTGCAAAATAATAGAACATCATCAGCAAAGGTAAGGTTGGTGATTTTCAACTTTTCGCATTTGGCATGGTAGTTAAAATTAGGATCTCTTTGCATTTTCATCAACAATCTGTTCATATACTCCATTATGAGAACAAACAGCATAGGTGATAGAGGATCACCCTGACGAATTCCCCTTTTGGCCTGCAGAATATCAGTGTACTCTCTCATGATGTTAAATCTATAAGATACAGTGGTGATGCCCAACATGATCCAACGAATGAATTTGTTAGGGAATCCCATCTCCTTCATGATGCACTCTAGAGCCTTCCAATTAACCATATCATAAGCTTTTTGTAGATCTAATTGAATCATGATTCTAGGTGTGCCTCCTTTCCTGTTATAACCCTTAAGCAACTCAGTAGCAAGCATGATGTGCTGGTTGATGTTCTGACCTGGTACGAAAGCTTCTTGATTATGATTTACCACACTAGAAATGACAGATCCTAATCTATTGGTTAGGATCTTTGAAATAATCTTGTAGAAAGTGGTGCAGACAGCTATAGGTCTGTAATCTTGGATTTTAGAAGCACTTTGCCCTTTAGGAATTAAGGACACAACAACATTGTCGAAAGCTTTGTAGATTTTTCCAGTTTCAAAGTATTCCCTCACAGCTGCTATCACATCTTCTCTTATAGTTGTCCAGCCGCTTTTAAAAAACATGGCTCCAAATCCATCCAAACCTGGTGCTTTGAGGTCTCTAATCCCCTTAAGAGCTATGGTAATGTCAGTTTCTGATATAGGTCTGATAAGGTATTCCCTTTGGTAATTATCAAGCTGCTTCCCCATTCTCATGGCCTTAATATCAATGTGATTGATGTTTTCAATATCCTTGCCCATTAAGTTGCTGTAGAAATTAAGCACCTCCTCTTCAATGTCTGATATGGAATTGGTCTGACTGCCATCTCGTTTTTTCAGGTTGTTAAGACAATTGGAATGATGTCTGGCCTTGATAGCAGCATAGAAATATTGATTGTTGCCATCTCCCTTTTTGATCCAATCAATCTTTGCTCTTTGTTGCAGAATCTTCCAGTCCATTTCATTCAATGCTATGATTTCTTCAATCAGATCTTTTGCTGTCAAAATCAAATTGTTGTTCAATCTGTCACTCCTCAGCTGCTCTTAGATTTCTTTTAGGTTAGTTCTAGCAGATACCAATTTGGTCTTAACATCAGAAATAGGTTTGTTGAATTGTTGCAGATCCTGTTTCAATCGCTTGAGCTTGTGCCAGAGAACAAACATTGGACTACCTCTAAAGAGGCCTTCCCAAGTCTTCTTAACCAAAGTGTCATAGCTAGGCATATCAGTAATCCAATTGCTGAATTTAAAATGTCTGGGGGATTTCCTCTGAGTTTGGCTAAAAACCAGATACAACATGGCCTGATCAGAGATATTAGGAGGAAGGATTTTAAGAGTAGTCTCCAAATTAGTGAGGAACAAATCAGTATTGCCTAACACTCTATCAATTCTAGAGTAAATGGGACCAGCTGCTTGTTTATTAGACCATGTGAAATGATCCCCAATGCTGTCCATTTCACTTAAGCAAGTGTTTTCCATCATATTTGTCAGATAAATGTATTCTCTTTCAGTCACTAAACTCCCACCAATTCTGTCTTGAGATTTGATTACATTGTTGTAATCACCAATAACACACCAAGGCCCATGGATGCCAACAGAAATTTGTTCAATGTTTGTCCACAAGGTTTTCCTCTGATGAAGATGGTTATGAGCATAAATTGCGGTTAGCCAGTGCTTGAAAACTCCACAGTTATCATAGATACCACTGTGGATATATTGACTGCTACTTCTAATGAATTGCACATTTACCCTGTTCTTATCCCAGTGGATCCAGATTCTACCATTTGGATGGTCCTTGTAATTGTCAAAATGATTTCCATATATCATCAGTTTCTCTCGAATGTTCTTGGATTTATCTTCTTTTATTCTGGTTTCAATCAGAATAATGATAGCAGGCTTTAGCTCTTGGAGACGGGACCGAATCTCACGAATTTTGCCTACTTTATTGAGTCCCCTTATGTTCCAAGATACTAACATGGTTCAGGATTGATGGTCACTTGATAGTCATTCAAAACCACAAGCACCTCAAAACCATTGTTACAATTTATACTGCTGTTTGTATCAGTAACTATGTTTTACCTTTATCCCTTACAGACTTCCGTGCTCTTGTCCAAGAATCCCTTCCTATTTCTGTTGTGTCTTATGTTTCTGGTGGTTTAACAGGTGTAATGTTTATGGACATTTCTGGTGGCTTAAGTTTTGGTTTCCATAGTTGCTTCTTCCCACGATCCTCGCACTGGTGCCCCATTTTTTGACATGTTTCACAGAATTTTGGTCTCCATTCATAGTTCACAGGCTGCATTATTATATCTCCTTCAACATTCCTTATGGCTATTTCATCTGTCAAAGGTTAAGTAATGTCTACCTCAATCAATAATCTTGCATATGAGACACGAAGCTTATTTGCAGTGCACTCATCAGTCACCAATGGTTTGCCAATAGCACTTCCAATTTTGCTGAGACTTTTGGCCCCCCATAGATGCAGGGGAAGTTAGGGAAGTTTGACCCAAATTGGTAAGGTTCTCAGTAGATCCTTCTTCAAATTGAAATCAGTTTGCCATTCCTTCAAGATCATGGGCATGTTTCAAATCGTGTATGGCCCTTTCATCATATATGCTTCCTTATCTTCTTGGGAGCTAAACCTGATCAAAAAATAACCATCATCGTAGTAATACAGATCTGGCATCTTCACGAAGTTCCACATTCTCTGCATAAAGTTCTTCACCGTGTTCATACTCAGGTCATCACCCACAACATAAAGGATTAGAGCATTATCCCAAAATTGTATTTCCGTTTCAATGTCTTCTTGTTCAATGTTTATTTCAAATACTCCATTGATGAGATTTGGCGCAACGTACTCGATATCCATTCCTCTTGCAGGGTTCCGATTGTCATTTATCACATCAACCCAAGGTTTACGCTCTTCATGTTGTGGTTGTATTGGTTCTGTTAGGGTTTCCTTGTTCTCCTTTACCAAGGTATTTGTCATAGCTTTGTCTTCTCCAATGGTGGTTCTTGAAGTGTTCTCCGAAGTCTGGCCGCCAATAATGGTGTTGCTTGATTCACGTTCTGGTGTTTTCAAGCTGGTGAGGTTTTCAGGTGATAGTGGCACCGTAGCTTTCGGCCGCCCTCGTCCCCTTTTCACGGTCACCATCTCGCTCAATAAATTAAACTCATCATGTTGACCCAATACACAGCCTATCGATCCCTCGAGCATTGTCATGTACATGAAAAGAGGTTTTCCAGGTACAAGAGGAATCAAAATCGGAGGCTCTTGGAGATAACCTTTTGTCTTGTTAAAGGCTTGTTGACAATCTGCATTCCAAACAACCGTCTGATCGTTTTGCAACAACTTGAAGATCGGCTCACAGGTAGGATTCATATTAGAAATAAACCTGGAGATGTAGTTTAATCTGCCAAGGAAACCTTTAACTTGCTTTTTGTTCTACGGAGCAGGCATTTCTTGAATAGCTCGCACTTTTTCAGGGTCCACTTCTATTCCACGTTGACTGAAGATGAAGCCAAGCAATTTCCCAGACCTCACTCAAAAAGTACACTTCACATGATTCGGTCTCAATTGATACTTCCTGAGCCTTACAAACAACTTCAAAAGATGATCAAGATGGTCCTCTTCATTTTGAGACTTGGCGATCATATTATCGACATACACTTTGATTTCTTTGTGCATCATGTCGTGAAATAATGCGACCATCACTCTTTAATAAGTAGCACATGCGTTCTTCAAACCAAAGGGCATGATCTTATAACAATAAGTTCCCCATGGTGTGATGAAATTAGTTTTCTCCATATCTTTGGGATCCATCCTTATCTTATTGTATCCATAAAATCCATCCATGAACGAGAATACCGCGAAACGAGTTGTATTGTCCACCAAGGTTTCGATATGTGGCAGAGGGAAATCCTCTTTTAGACTAGCTTTGTTCAGATCCCTATAGTCCACACACATTATAAATTTTCTGTCCTTTTTGGGAACAAGTACAATGTTGGCTACCCATTCTGGATACTTTGATACTGCCAGGAAACCTGTGTAGATCTGTTTCTTAACTTCATCCCTGATCTTGAGAGCCATGTCAGGTCGAGTTCTTCTGAGCTTTTGCTTGATATGCAGACATTCAGGCCGAAGATGTAGCTTGTGAACGACTATATCAGTATCCAAGCCAGACATATCTTGGTAAGACCAAGCAAAAACATCCATGTATTCTTCTAGTAGCTTTACCAGTCGTTTCTTGGCTTCTGCCCCTAGCATTGCCCCAATCTTAACTTCTCTTCTGTCTTCATCAGTACCAAGATTAATGATTTCTACTTGCTCTTGGTGAGGCTAAAGGTCGATATACTCGTACTCAACCATCTTTTCCAACTTATTTGGAATCTCAAAGTCTTGATTGTCCTCATCTTCGGCTTGATATACAAGCAAATCAAAGTCAGGAGGGAAAGTAAGGTCATTGATTTTAATGGGTGTTGGATTTTCTCTTCATGTTTTGAATGGTTTGAATTATTAGAACATACAAAGATAGATGCAACAAGCATGAAGATATTTTTCTTGTTTTTAAAAGATTGTCATTTTCTTTTTAAGAGTAAACGCGAAAAACAGTAAATGAGGTAAGAAATGAGGAGTTTAATGATAGACCTAAAATATATTGTTTATTTGACTCGATTTGCATGTGTTATTTAGGATTTTATTTCTGTTTTCTTGTATTATGCCTATGTTTTGTCTCTTTTTTAGGATTTTATATTCTTAGAGCTACTCAAGAAGAAATGAAGAAAAACAAGCAAAAAGACCAGCTTTTCAAGAAATTGTACACATGACACTCACCATGGCGGGCGCCATAGGACAAGCTATGACTTGGATAAGAGACCAACGTCTGACAACCGCCACCTCTCCCACTTCTTTCTACTCTAGTACACATGGCGGGCGCCACCCTTGTATTTTGTTTTCCCTCCCAAAAGAAGTTGGGGGGCATTCTAGTCTTTCCTTGTACTTTCCTAGCATTATAAATAGAAGAGTCTTGCCTCATTTCTAGGCATCCAACCTTAGTTACAGAGCTCAAGCCATAAATTTCCATCTGTTGTAAAGTGATAAACCTCTCATATCGGGTAGTTATCACATTGTCTAATCGAGTCTCTAATCGGATTTGGAGCACTTTGGTAGAAGTTAATCCTGCCGCCATTTTATTTCAGTCTTTTACTTCAAGTTGTACCAAGATTTAAAACCTCCCGTTTGGAGCAGGTTTCTATTTATTTTCCGCTTTTACTTATCCGCATTTATTTCTTGCACTTTATTTATCGCACTTTATTTACTCGCAATTTATTTACTGCACTTTATTTACTCGCACTTTATTTACCATGTCTATTTACGTTTTCATGTCCGGCTAAATCTTAGAGGTTAGGATGTGAGGATCATAGTTACAGTGGTATTCCATACGGCTGTCGATAGAATCACTTAGGGGTTATTCTGGCTTTTAATATATATTTTCTGCACATAAAATCTGTTGGGTAAGATCGAAAGCCGTCCAACCTTTAGATAAATTTGGTTAGTCTTAACTGTTCAAAGGAAGCGAAAACGCATAGTCCAGTTAAGTAGGAATCTCTAATGCTTTAGAAAAATGATTTTAAAACTATTTTCGGACGCGTTTATGGATTTAATGTCCGGTTCGCAAGAACCTCTTTTTGTTAGAAATTCCAGGTCAAAATACTTTTCAACTAAGTTAAGAAACTATATTTCTTAAAAATAGGTTTAATCACTCTAACGCAATACACGTCTTTTTATAAGTGACAATAAGAGGGATCAATTAGGGGATAAAATTGATTCTGAATACACGAAAGCGACAGTTCCCGTTAAATTAGTGTTGCACCCTAAAATTTGCCCAACCTTATTCCTTGGTTTATGTTTCATTATCATTAGCATTTGCATATAGAGTCATGTACATAGACTAACCATCTGCATAGCATAAGCATAGCAAGTCATTCAACAGGGGACCAATCATTATTTTCATCTCTAGAGGCCTATCAAGAGGTTATTATCCCAATTCAGTCATATTCAAGTCATCAGGAAAGAATTTGAAAGCAAAGAGTTCAGCAGATCAAGCCTTGAGTCTATCTTCTAGCTGAGGGTATCTGAGGATCAACAAGAGGGTTGTGAGCTGTGAAGTGAGAGCATGGAGGGCATCTAGACATCTTGAGAGACTTATAAAGTCATTTGGAGAAGAAAGCAAGTCATTGATGAAGGCACAAGAGCTACAGTTGAAGACAGTCAACTAGGGTTTCATCTGGGTCAACCCTAGGTCAACCCTAGGTCAATTGACTGGTTTAAAAGAGCATTCAAGGCTATTGGAGAGATGTGGGGTTCATCATTTGACATATGAAGAATGATATGGAGATATGACAAGGAGAATTCAAGAGAAATCAAGGAGAAGAGGAGTTACTAAATTAGGGTTTCTCTGTAAAATCCCCTAGTTTAGGTCCAACTTACAAGCAAGATAAGTCAAAATGCTAGCTTCAAATGGCTTCTTGGCCAACATGAAACTTGTAGAGAATCTCAAGACCTTTAATTTGAGTGGTGGAAGACCTCAAGGAGATTTATAGAACTCAAGTTATGGTCCTTACAAGTTACAGGTCATCTGGGGTGTCTGAATTTTTGTCTGTGAAAGTGACTTGACTTCCAAGCTAGTTTTGCCCCTCAAGGAGATTTCAAATGAATTCTTGGTCAACATAAGAATTGTTCCTCATTGTCTTAGCTTTCTAGAATGGTATGGCATGCCTTCATATGATGTGGAGAACTCAACTTATGGTCTTGACAAGCAAAGGGTATTTTGGGCATTTGTGAATTACAGGTCATTTTAACCTATACCCAAAACTCATACAAGGAGGCCTCAAATGGAAAAACTTACAACATCAAACTTGCTCCAAATGGGATTTTAAGTCTAGAAAGAAGGTCACAAGTTATTGGAGAAGCTCATAGCATGGGGTTACATGATTGGTCAAAATATGAACTAAAAAGGCTTATAAAGTGAATAATTTCAAAGTGAAAAATGGTTTGGGAGATTTACAAGTCCAAATGGAGACTTCCAATATATGATTTTGAATGGAAAAACAATTCTAAGAACAATGGTTCACACACTTTTTTGAGTTTAGAAGGAAAAAATGAAGTTATCCATGGTTGCTTACCTTTTAAGAAACATAATCAAAATGAGCCAAAGTTTGAAAACAAGGGAATGTGCAAGATGGATCTAGAATGTACCATTGGGGTCTATATATTCATGAAAGATGAATTTGGCAAGGGTTGGCCTCATTTGCACCAAGAATTCCACAAATTTCTCACACTTTTTTTCATAAAAGTTTCATTCCAAATCTCTCAAATTCTGCATCAATCTTCATCAAGATCAATTCAATTTCATTCCATCATCATCTTAGATCATAATTGAAGCAAGGTTTTGGTAGTTCTCATCCATTTTCGAGTGTTTCTTCCATTAACACCAAAATCACAAGTTCAAGTGAATTGCATGATTCAAGCAAGGAACCTCCAAAATTGTGCATACAGAATTGAGTATTGAGTTGGTGGATCAAGATCCAAGTCTCAAAAGCCTCATATCCTCCATTTCCATAGCTGTTTTCAAGGTTTCTCATCAGGTAAGTTTTCATTCGATTAGCTTGATTCTGTTGGTTTCACATGATTTTATTAGTGTAGACTTGATCTAGGTGGTTAGGAGATTAAGTTAGATGATTTTGGAACGATTTGGTGATGGTTAGTGACAGGTGTAACAAACTGTTAGTGCTTATATCTCCTAGATTAGTGCATCATAATTGTAGCTTGATTGATCAAATTAATCTCCATTAGTTGTAGTTCAGTTTAGACTAAGTTTGGGGAAGAATGGTGAAGGTTCATATCAGTGCATTTCAATGGTGGCCAGTATGTGATTCAATCGGATTTGTTATTGTGACGCGTTTCAAGATGATCTAATGCCCTAAGCTTGTAGAGGGAAGAATTTGGAGTGGTTTTTGTGTTTACAGCATGTGGATTCGTGGCGTGTAGAAGGAGAACAGAGAGGTGGAACCTTGCTCGTGCATGGCTGCCATGGGAGATAAGAAACCCTAGGTTGCAGGTCAATTGAAGGAGAGATAATCGTGGCCGTGTGT